CTTGAGGCAGAGCAGCTCCTCCTTCAGGGACTCCACCTGGGCCTCCAGGTCAGACTTGCACAGGGTCAGCTCGTCCAGGATCCTGCGCAGGCCGTTGATGTCGGACTCCACCAGCTGCCGCAGGGACAGCTCCGTCTCAAACCTGCAGGAGGATAGGGGCAGATCAGCAACTGGCAGATCTTCAAGACTCAAAAGAACGATCCTTGGTAATCTCATTTGCTTGGTCTTCCCTCTTTCTGAAATGAGTAGACCCAGGAAACAGAGAGTTGTGGAGGCTCCATGGAGACCCACCATTGCCCTCTATTTTTGTGATTCCTTTACGTGGTTCCCTCCCATCTTCTTCACAACTAACGGGGTTGGACCAGTTGCTCAGTAAAGCTATGGAAATCCCATTTAACGAGAGGTTAAACCAAAGTAAAGGAAACAAGTGTTGAACTCACTTGGTCCTGAAGTCATCGGCAGCCAGCTTGGCGTTGTCGATCTCCACCACCAGCTTGGAGTTCTCAGACTTGGTGCACAGGATCTGGGGAGGAGAGATGGCTTAGTGAGGATGGGAAGTCAGGACCAAACCACCAACTTCTTTAGAATGGCTTAAAGAGACATTTTGAAGGTAAGAATCACGGCAGCCAAGAAGCAGGAAACACTTCTCTACCCCAGATGGAGGATCATGGTCATCCTTCCTTGCTTACAGATGACAGCCAGCCCCCTCACCTTCTGCTGGAGCTCCTCGATGGTCCGGAAGTAGGACTGGTAGCTGGGACACACCAAGGGCTCCTGCTGCTGGTTCCGCTCCTGGATGCGGGCCTCCAGCTCCGCGTTCTCCCTCTCCAGCTGGCGCACCTTCTCCAGGTAGCTGGCCAGACGGTCGTTCAGAAACTGCATGGTCTCCTTCTCGCTGCCGTTGAAGGAGCCCTCACAGAACCAGTTGCAGTTGCCCACGTTGGCGGGGATGTTGCAGGCCCCGGGCAAGGTGCAGCCATGGCAGCTGTGGGGCACGCAGGGCCGGGAGGAGCAGCTGCTGCGGCAGCTCACGTTGGACAGGCAGCAGTTGTAAGGCATGGTGCTGGGAGGGTGCGAGGTGCCTGGCTGAAGACAGAATGCAAGGCGAGCCACAGCGCTGTGGGTCTCCTTCCCCCGGATGGGCCTTTATACCCCCTCCACGGAGGGTGTGGACACAGTATGTAATGTCTTTTTTCTTTGTACTTCTTCATTGGTTTTAGACGCCCTTTCCTTCAGTCTGTTATTTGCCTTCCTCAGAAGAGTCCCTTGTCCCATAAAATTCTTTACTTGGGCTTCTTGCTAAGTCAGGACTCTTCTTCAGGCAGTACACCCATGAAATCAGAGTTCTGTGGGAGATCTTCAAAGAGGTCACATGTCCAGCCCTCATTAATTGGGTGTTGGTGCACGCAATGTCATTCTTTCGTGTCACGTGATCCTGCAGGTCCATAATCAACCTCATGTCCTGGCCCACCCAGCATTTCCAGAGAGAGACAGATTGGTTTGAGAAAGAAGTGGCATTAACTGTCAGCAGTAGACTCTCTCCCTGTCTGCTCTGAGAGAGGGATCTTTAAATGAGGCAGCATACAGTCAGAGATGGATGTTTGAGGCGAATGATTAGGATTGATTTGGACCATGGTTAAAAAGGTCCAACAGCTTTGTGTTTTGTAGTGCCACATAATGTCCCCTGTTGTCACATAAGAGAATTGTAGAGGAAATAATTTTATAAGTTGAGGCTTTGGTAATTGGTTTGAGAACAGGGAAGTTTCTGGAGAAAGAGATCATTTTGAAAGAAGGATGAAAAATACGAGTTGAAAAATCAATGCAAATGCACTTGAACTCACTAGGAAGTGTATCAGGAGGCTAATGGGAAAGCAATAAGGTAGTGTTCATCAAACACTTTCACCGGGTATCCACTGTGTCAGAACAGAGCGAGTGGGGATATTAGAAATGTCAGGAGATAGCCCTAAGGGCCCTCCATAGGCATAAAATCAGTTCATCTTAAAATTTCACTAGTTCCATAATACGTTCTCAATGGCTTGAACATTAAAAATCACTTAAATTTGCAGTTAAACTTTGTCATCTTTTGCCCAACTCTCTAAGTGAAATGGATATCACTTAAATTTGCAGTTAAACTTTGTCATCTTTTGCCCAACTCTCTAAGTGAAATGGATATACCAGGAACGTGTGCCCAATTCTGTTCTGGGCATCCTTCCTCCAGCCCTGCTGCTTTACACACAACCTATTCAAAGGTGTTAAAGCACCGTAGGAGGAGTGTGGTTATGTCACTGAATCCAAGGCCTGGACACACCACAAGTAGAGCACCTGGGAAAGCAAGTTGGAGTCACTTGGATTGATTTAGGAGGTAAAGGGCAGCACCGGAAGATGCAAGGAAAAGGTAGTCAGAGTTGGGAATAGATACAAGTTGCATAAGTACAGGCACCTCCAGGTACCACCTGCAGGTAGCAGCACCCCAACCTCCTCTGTGGCTTTGGCGGCCAGCCAGAACTGCCATTTACGATGACTTATTGGAGTCTTTCTCCCCATTGAGTTTTCATGGCTCAGCTTGAGTCTCAGATAAAAGGTTCTTCGTCTACACTCCCCAAGACCATTATCACCACTTATTATAAGGCCATCCAGATGAAAAAGCCCCACAGCATCACAAAGAAGCCCTAGACTTGTAATAAAATCAAATTTTCTTTGTTTTCTTCCAAGACAATTAAAGGGGGAGAAATAGGCGGGTCTGGAGTCAGGTATCACCCAGACACGCAGACACTTTGTGCTAGGCAGAAGCAGTCAGCAGGGAGCTTCTGTCTCCTTTCATCTGGGATTGGGATGTATGGAAAGATGACTGCTTTCAAAGATGAGCACTCCCTGCGGGGACCAGCACAGGCCTCCTGCTTTCCAACTCTTGCCAACCTACTCCAAAGTGCTGGCCTCCTGGTAGGCGCTATTTCCTCAACACTCTTCTTCCCACCCAGGGAGGCTTTACCCTGAGCGGAGACTAAATGCCAGCAACGTCCTGCAATCTCTTTGGTCTTATCCACTGATCGGCCAGGGTGGCTTCATGGAGTCTTGAAGGAGAGAATAACAGAGGAGCATGTTTAGGTTCTAAGGATGAGAAGATTCAAGAACTGGGTTAGCAGAAAAAGCAAATGCAGAGAGATTGGAGAAATGGAGAGATGTGGAGACAAGGAGCAGCATGTTTAATAAAAGGGATAAGAACACAAGGAAAAGAAGCAAGAAGGAAACCTTTCAAGGAAGCCTCAGGAGTCAGACTATCACAGAGAGCCCATCTTCAGATGGGCTAACCTGGAGAAGGCAGAGCTGAGAAGCAGCCAAAGCAAGCTGAGTTGGTGGAGAGAAGCGCAGCCCACCCTGCTGAACGTCCTGTGGAATAGAAATGGAAAGGAATCATGGATGACCTCCAGACACAGGACCACAGCTTCCGAGGTCTCTGAAAGAAGCACCATTGTTCTGAGGTGTCCAGAGCAGAGCATCATCTCCATGATCCAGACAGATTTGTTTGCGGCAGACAACGTGTCCCCACTGTCTGCGCCCAGGCAATGCAAGGTCAAAAAGGAGCAACACCATGTATTCCTGAATGAGCCAGGAGTATGGAGAGGAGAAAGAAGAAAGGACTGAAATAGTCAGACCCACACTGGCTCTGGGCCATGGCCAACCGGCAGCCACACCAAAGCTGCAGAGAGAAACAGGTGACCCCAGTTGCCTGCCACTCTCTCTTAGAGATGCTTCCTCTCCCTGTTGACTGCCCTGCAGAAGGTGAAATGGCACAAGAATTCTGGATGGAAGCCGCAGACAGACCGGCTGGTGAGTAAACACAAGGCTGCTGTCTGTCCCTTGTCAATCTCACATCTTTCTTGCAGAATTTGCGAAATATAGAAAGGCTTGAGTGAATTTGCTTCTTGAATTAGTAGGGGAAAGGGGACTCCCCTGGGTTGTAAGGTCCCCAAGAACTCACACAGGTTAAGAGTGGACTTTATGTACTTTCTTGATTTCCAAATTGGAATATTTGCAAATTTTACTCATCCCAAGAAAAATTGAGCTGTCAATTGAACGTTCAAACCCACATTTCTTTATCTAGCTCAGTTTAATTCAAAATACATTTATTAGATATCCTCTGTATGCTGGACACAGAACTAAACCAAAACAGAAGAATCCTATTTCTGGTAAAGGATTATCTGTTTATGAACAATTTGGGCCAATGTGAGTTCCAAAAATAAATGAGAAATGGGAAGAAGGTAAGAGGATGAGTAATTTGAAAGATGTGAAATGGACATTTGGAAATATGTTGTATCTAGCATAACTAGAAAACTGCACACATGATATTAAGGACATTGTGTCTGATACAATCCCAGGGACAGGAAATGGTATAAGGGGGACACGACCCCCAAGAGCTCTCAGAACTGTTGGAGAGCAGGTGGATTCACATAATTGGGCCCTTTACCCCCTAAAGTTTCCTTCCCCTATTCTCTACACCCCACTTCTCACACCTGCTCCTGCCTCAAGCTCCAATCAGGCCACTTCAATCTCTTCCATAGGGTGAAGAGACGAAGCCATTTCACGTTATTTGCCTGTTTCTCAAAAGAGATTTATCTGTGCTTCACTGACTAGGTGATTCATAGGTAGGGCTCAAAGAACTGCTTTCATTAGAATTCTAATCCCTTGAAGAATCTTTGTCTTCACTCAGACCTAGGAATTGGTTATTTTGATGTTTAGTTCTTGTTGCCTTGGAGACCACAGGCTGGGCAGGGGTGATTACCCCATAGGTAATCTTCTAAGAAGGGACCGAGGCTTTTGGCACGGACAAGTGAGAAACCGTTCCAGGGGTGTGGTGTGGGGCAGAGAAAGCAGTGACCATCTAAGTCAAGCACATGCGAAACAGGAAGTAGAAAAGGGAATAAGACAGGTGTGGAGGCAAACGGAAGCAGCACCCGGATCTGCTGGTGTGACAGGCAGGATGCTGCGGAGGTGTCCAAGATCCAGGGGGAAGGGAGGGAAAGGGAGGCAGGGGTGATCTGGGTGCAATAAACAGCATAAAGGGAAAGTCTCGGCTGAGGGAGGCCAGAAGTGGCCAAAGGCCAGAAGCTGAGCCTGCAATGTGGAGTTTGGGTGGAGAAGGCATTGAGGGTGAGAGAAGCCCTGGGAGATTA